TTCTTTATATATAATCAAATTTTTTATATACTTGTTTTAAATTAATTGTTTTATTAATCTTTATAATGTATAACAATTCATAATTGTAATTTATTTTATATTTAGTTTTTTTAAAATATTTCATTTTCTTTATATTATATTAAGTTTGTTTCATTATTTAAATGTTTATATAAAAATTGAAAAAAAAAAATAAAAAATTTTTATTTTTTTTTTTAATTTTTTTTTTAATTTTTTTTTTATTTTTTTAAATTTTTTTAAATTTTTTTTATTTTTAATTTTATTTTTAATTTAATTTAATTTAATTTTATTTTATTTTATTTTATTTTATTTTATTTTATTTTATTTTATTTTATTTTATTTTATTTTATTTTTTAATTTAAAATCCCATAATTATTTTTTCCACACTTTTGCCAAAAAAAGATATCAATTTAATTTCTTTTAAAATTTAACCCTTTTTAATTATTATTTTTCTTTTATGACACAGCTGATTACGAACAAAGATTTTTTTAAATTAATAAAATTTTGTTTTACATTTTGTTCATTATTAATCAATGTTTAAAAAAAAAAAAAAAAATAAAAAAAATAAATAAAATGGAAAAAAATGAATAATAATTTTTTAAAAAAAAAAAAGTTAAAAAAAGATAATATTTGTTTAAAAAATCTTAAAATGAATACGCTAGCAATAATCGATAAAAAATCTCTAAGAAAATAATATTTTTATTTTAAGAGTTAATTTTTATTTAAAAAATATTAAATTGTATTTTAACTATTTTGAATATTATGAAGAAATATAATCAGCTATTTCATTGATTGTTTTTCCATATAAATTATCAATTGAAATCTCTTTATTAAAGGAAAATTCTAATATTTGACTTAATTCTACTATTGTCATACTATCCACTTTTAAAAAAAATTAATATGTTTTATTTATAAAAAATTTAAAAAAGCATGAATACAAACATCCTAAATCATTCATTTCTAAATTTTCTGCTGCATTATTTATTCCTTTTGATTCTAAGAAACTAATAATTTTTTCCTTAACCTGTCCTTTAGAACTCATTTCTTATTAAAAAAATATTTTATTTAAAATGTATATAAATATAAAAATGTTTATGATTATTAATTTTTAAAAAAGAAAAATAAAAAAAAAATTTTTTTTTTATTTTGAAAATTAAAACAGTTTTTTAATCCAAACAGTTTTAACCCTTTGTAAATTGCCACCCTCATAAAAAAAAATTTTAATTTTACAATTAAAAAAAAACTGTTTAAAATTACAAAGTGGTTGTGCATTCTAACTTTTTAATATAATTTAATAAAAATACAATTAAAGTGATGTATTAATGTTTTTTTTTATTATAAACGATTTATATGAAGGATTTTTTTGATCCTAAATTTTAGGGAAAAAGGATCTGGATTTTCATTTAAAAATTAGTTTTAAACCTCGATCTTGAGATATAATATAAAAAATATAATTTTTTTTGAATTTAATTTTTTTTTTGGCAAAATGTCAAAATAAATTCAAGACAGACAACCCTTATTTTTTTAAAATTTTTTTTTTCGGTTGGCAACATTTTGTATTATTTTAGGGGTTAAATTTTTTTAAAATTTTTTTTTTTAGGGCAGGCTACATTTTGTATTATTATAGGGGTTAAAAATAAAAAATTAAAAAAAAAAAGGGAAGTTTTTTAATTTTTTAAAAGAGGTATTTTTTTTTTTTTTTATATTTTTTTTTTAATTTATTTTATAATTATCTATTTTCTTATATATTTATATAAAATGGTATTAATTTAATAAATCAAAAGAATAATACATTAAAAATTAATATATTAATTGATGGTTTCATTTAACTTTATATAGTTCATTATTGCTATTGGTGATACTCATGTTCCACACAGATCACATGGTATTCCACCAGAATTCAAGAGACTTTTAGTTCCAGAAAAAACTAATGTAAGTCATTCATTAGTAATAAAAAGTTTATCACAGCGATATAATGATACAATTTAAAGATTTTGTATATTAAAGTTTTTATTTATTTTTTTATCAAAGCATATCTTATCAACTGGTAATTTAGTTTCAAAAGAAATTTACGATTATTTCAAAACTTTAACTAGTGATGTTCATATTGTCAAAGGTGATTTAGATGAAGTAAGTTTATGTTTTGCGTAGTCAGCAAATAATACTATAATTATTTAAATAATAATAATAATAATAATAAATAATACTTGCATTATTAGAAAATTTTTTATGAAAAATGGTTATTAATTCTAATTTTATAAAATAGAATACAAGCTATCCAGATACTAAAGTTGTAAACATTGGTGAATTTAAATTTGGGCTTTACCATGGTCATCAAATTGTTCCATCGGGCGATAAATCATCATTAGCTCTTTTACAAAGACAATTGGACGCTGATGTTCTCATTACTGGTCACACTCACAAACCTGAAGTTTTCGAAGCAAACGGTAAACTTTTTGTTAATCCAGGTTCAGCTACTGGTGCTTTCAGTAATATTTCAAAGTAAGCCAACATATTAATTATTGTTATTGTTATTAGCTAAAAACCTATCACATATACTAATATTTAAATTTTAAATTATTTATCAACTATTACAGCGATGTTATTCCATCATTTGTTTTAATGGATGTTCAAAGCAATAATATTACAGTTTATATTTACAAATTAATTGATGGTCAAGTTAAAGTCGAAAAAATTGATTATGTTAAACAATAAATTTATATCTATTAATAAAAAAAAAATTAATTTTAATACTTAAATTAGAAATTTATCTTATTACGAAAGAACTTCGTTATCCTCGATTATAAAAGTTGGATCCTAAGTCATTTTTTGTAAATTTTGTGAATTTTGTGAATTTACAAAACTATGGAGAAATGTTTCCTTAAAAAAAGATGATCTTTTAGCATGACTTAAATGATCATTTTGTTGATACATAAAGTTTTTTTATAAAAATAGTAGGAATACTGATAAATAATATGATCTTTAATTTCACTTCTAACTGATTGTTTATTAGTATTGCCAATACAACTTGGTGGTAAACTAAAACTTGATAGTTGTATTTGGTTTGAAATATATTCTTTTTTATAAAATTTATTCATTTTTTTGTTCTTGAAAAAAAAATAAAAATGTTTCCATATTTATATTATTTGGTTTAAATTGTACATCTTGTAAAATGATCAATTTTAAAGATTTAATCGAATATTTTAATCAAAGACAACATATTGGTAAAATAGTTGTAAATCACGACATATATGTAATTAAAAGTATAAAATTAATAGAAACGAAATTATTTAATTATTATGAGGAACAACTATGATATATTAAGATTAGACATCGCTAAAAACATATTAGTATCAGGCCAAACAGGTAATATATTAGAAATGATTAAGGTCAAATATTCAAACAAATCAATCGAATTAAAACAAAACTTCAAAAGATAAACAATAAATTTCCACTTCAATCTAATCGATGTCAAAGTTTATAATAAAGTTCAAAAAATTTTAAATAATCAAATTTAAACATTACAAATATAGATTCAGTAAAACACTTTGGATTTGTAAATGATATTAGTGATGTTCAAGATATTATTATTAAAAATTTTAACTAAAATTATTTTAAATACAGTGTTTTAACTGGGTTTGAAAAAAAATTTTATTTTTTATTTTATTTTATGAATGTTGTGTATGTAAATAAAATTGAATGATGGTATAATTGTGGGGTGTTTTTATTGATTTTGAAGGCAGAATTGAATTCCCATTATTAGCTAGTTAATTTGTACTATTATTAACTTTTAATATGGCTACACTTTCACAGTTTATAGCTTATTTCTTTTAGGTTGCTATTTTTATTTTATTAACTATCCTAAAATTCAAAAAGAGTAATTATTGATTATACTTTTTTCTTGTAAAATCTGATCTAAATATTTAATAAAAAATAAAAAATGTTTAAAATTGGGAAGCATTAGGGGTTGGCCTTTTTTATGTATACATATTGATGAAACAAAATGTTTTATTTAATTTGTTTTTTAAATGTTTCATTATTATTTATTATTTATAATTTAATATTAAAAAATAAAAAAATAAACTAAAAAACTAAAAAAAAGTAAAAAAAGAAAAAGAAAAAAATTACATTTTTTATTTTCTTAAATGTTTATTTAATAAATTTATATGTATAATAATCTATTTTTTATTTAAATTTTTTTTTTTTATATAATTTTAATTTTTGATTAATTTAATTAATTTTGATTATCTATTTTATACCCTAAAACCTAAATGTAATGTAGTTATTATTATTCCTATTATTTTTATTATAAAATTATTTGTTGCTATTCTTCCATTATTACCATTATTTCTATTACTATTATGTATAAATAAATAACCTATTCAAATACCTTTTACTTTTACCGATAAAAATCCGATTCACCTAATCTAACATAATCTAATGAAATAAAATCGATCCAAATTAAATTCATTCCAATCAATTCCAATTCAACCTAATCGAATACTAACCTAAACAAGTCATCATTTTTACTTTTATCTTTTTTTTTTTTATTATTATTAACAATCTGTTTTTTATTTATTTAATTTAAAACTTTTAAAAATTGCCAAATATCTGTAATTTTTATTTTAGATAAATATTTCATCGCTAAATAATCCAACTAAAAGTATTATACCAATCTTAAACATAATTCTAAATTTCTTTTTCACTACAACTACTTTTTTTATAGATTTTATTTATTATATTATAAATTTGTTTTTATTTATTATTTATCGTTTTTATTTTAATAATAATCAATTTATACTATTATTATTATTTATATTATAACTATGATTGTTTTTATTATAACATTATTTTAGTATTATTCTCTATTATTACTATTATTAATTAATAAAATAATTTATGCAATCC